CACAAAAGCTGTAAACAGACTGAATCAGCGACGAGAAAATGGCGCCGGACGCACTTCTCTGACTCAGCTGTTGAGCGCCTTATTAGCGGATCGCCATAAAGCGGAGCGCCGAAAAGCGGGGCCCTACTGTATTATCATAGAACTGTTTTTCCATTATTTTGTATGGTTATCTTAGTCTCTCGTACAAAATGAAGCACAGCATAGATACATTGCAAATATTTGAAAACAAAAGAGTTGGAAGAAATCTGTTTGCTAGGAAATTTCTCTGGAATACTAGTAATAGAAATTATTGCTATTTTAAAGGTATTATCTTATAATGTATTATATTTTCAAAAGTATAATATGTACTTGGATTTTTAGTTAGTGGATTTTCAAAAAAATATTTTGGTATATTTTTTAGAACTCATAATTTATATTTGGGAGAATATGAGGTCAGATGGTACAAGGGTGTAGTGAATCATCAGATGTGTAACTTTTTCTGTGGAAAAGGAAATGCTAAAAATCACTTTGGGATGGGTTTTCCATCAAGGAGTGTAAAGGGCTGGTTGTGGGAAATGAGCAAGCATTCACTGGAGAGCACTAGGAACGGCTTTTCTCTCGGTACGTCAATGCTGAAAAGAAGATGATCTACAAGTAATGCTTGTTACAAACCTAACAAATCCTTTCAAAACTGGGCAATAATATTAACAAATGAGGATTACATTCACAGAAAGAACACATTAAATTAATGTGATTTCTTCTACCATTTGGTATAGGACCTTTTATCTTCCCAGAATGAAACAAAACTATAATTTTACAGGTTTTATACTGGGGTGAAACTTGGTCTCCTGACTTAAAGGAAGACCACAGATTGTTTATTGGTGGTTGGGAATGAAAACTGAGGAGAATGTGTGGAGGTAGAGAGAGGAGAAACATTGAGGAACTTCATAATCTGTACTCTTGTCTATTCTTCACTCTTTATTATTATGGTGATCAAATCGAGGGTGGTACAATGGGTAGGGCATGAAGAACACAGCCAAGAAATGTATAGAAATCTGAAGTGAAGAGAACTCGTGGGACATTATACAAAGATCTGTTGGGAGTGGACTGAAATGGCTGAAGATAGTGTCTGGAGTTGATACTCATGAATGCAGTAATGCATCTTCAAGTTTCATAAAGGCAGGGAAATTCTGTAATCAGCCCAACAACTATAAGCTTCTAAAGACATTTGGTTATATGCGTTATTGAATGAAGCACAAAACAATCATAATCGACTGTACCATATAAAGTATGACTTCAAAATGCATGTAATTGAATAGAGGGGCTGACAAATGGGGTAAGCATAATTGTGAACCACAGCTTCTGTCCCATTACTTGTGTTTAATCTGTAATGGTGTAGTCTTGGTGATCATGTTGCTTAATAACAGACAACTTACTGTTTGTGTCACACCACACACAGAATAGAGTGCAATATATTTTCTTTCCATTTGTTTTGTACATCTTCCAACAATATGCAGCATTATTTTAGGCAGCACTTTTGGGGAGGGGAATGAATATTATGGTACTATTATCTAAAATTCATGATATTTTAAAACAACAGACCTTTACACAGCATCAGGTTGCCATTTTGGATTGAAGTGCTTCTTGAGAGCTTGCCAGCACATGTAGTAATTACTGTCCAGCTTTTGGCAAGTTTCTTTGCCCCACTTTGTGACAGCAAGACTCAGTGAGCTCTCAAACATAAAGGCCTGCAAATGAAAGGATTTCTATTGTATTTCAAAGTGTATTTAACCCTTTTGAAGCCGAACAGTAGGCATCATGCTTGATGTTTTACCTGTGTGCCATCAGCCACTCTGGTGGGGCACAAGGCTGCATTGGAAGCACCTTCAAAACACTGTGTGTCAGGTCCATGAGGAGTCATCATTGAATGGAGTGTAGCACCACCAGGTAGGAAGCCTTCTTCCTTTGCTTCATAATTTCCAAAGATCAGGCCCATAAATTCAGACATGCAGTTTCCTATACAAGCATAAAGGAGAAGAGACTATGTTTCTGGCATATTAAATCATACATCTGTGCACTCTTTATTGGATAATTACAATTATAAATTACACGCACAAAGATCAATTATGAGATACGTCTGTTGAAGAAAACATTTATATGATGTTTATACACTTAACTTTTTGTAAAACAGTACTTTCATTTTAAAATTCACTGTTTCTTTCAGAGTCCCTGGAATTCCTAAATTTACTGCTAGCATTGCCTGATATTGTTTCTAATAGGTCTAAAATTGCATTATTCCTGTAAGTTTTCATTGTAGAAATTTGTATCTTTGGTCATGATGACATGAATTAGGGTTACAAGAATTGTCAATTTTATCTCCCATGATTTCTAGACTTAGAAAAGCACTGAGGTAAAAACCAAATCCATGCACACATAACTTATATCTCTATCTGAGATTAATGTAACATGCATGCAGGTCACTGTCACTGAACAGGAGTTGTGAGACACACATAGCATCATGGTCGTGTTAAACACAGTCACATGTACTACTTGTATGCGTAACAAACTCAGAATTCACCGTACTCATTCTGCACCTGAACTAACGTAACTCACACAAACAATGAGACTGACAAACATATTTGTAGGAATATAGCTTCATAAGCCATTAATAACTAATCATAAATTACTCCTTTTATGTAATTACTTTCATCAGGAATTCTTAAAGAACAATAAATGAAAGGCCTCTTTTAGATTCTATATGTGTCTTAGATTTGTAAGTATAGTTGTTCAAAAGTAAAATATTATATTTGCAATGTTGGTAATATTGGATGTGTGATATACTCACTATGATAATATGGGGGGCGGAATGTGTGCTCTTGCACAGACCACCGTGGTGGGAAGATCACAAAATCAGCAATAGCGGTCCCTGCCTTGTTGGATGGACATGTCAACACAGTGAAGATGGAAGGGTCCTGATGTAAGATCAACATGTAAACTGAAAATTAGCACCCACGTAAAGGAAATGTATATGGAATAGATAAATCAAGCAAGTTCACAGGTTACCTCAGTCTCACTTGCCAAATGCTAAGCCTTTTTTTTTAAAAAAAAAGAAAAGAATGTAACCCAAGAAATAACATACACCCACTTTTCTCGTCCAGTCCCCCATAAAGCTGGAATTAATGCTGACTTTGAAAATCTGTGAACTCTTGTAAGGCAACACCAACACACTTTATGTTGAAACAGGAGTATGATCCAACAGACACATACAGTGACCGTGCATTACACCAGTAACTAAGGCATTCATGAGAAGCAAGACATGCATATATTTTAAAGACTTTCGTACTTCACTGCTAATCTGACTTCAGGTTATGTACTCCATTTCTACAAACAAGGTTCTGATAACTGAATTATGGTGGCAGTCTATAGTGGAGGAAATGTCGTGAGCTAATTCAAGAAGAATAGAATTGCAACGTTTTCTGTGTTTTATCTTGGGTGAAGAAGCTTTCTTTAATGTTATGATTTTTATTAAATGATTGAAGAATATGGTAGAAGTGTGTCATTCACCAAATTGGATTACACAAAATAATTCATAAAACAATCACTAGAATAGAAGAAAACTGGATAGGTATCAAAAGGGAAAATTAACATAACAAATATTTATGTTTCAAAGAAACTGAAACTAAAATAGAGGAAGAAAAGAAAAGTATAGAACTAGCTAATGGCAGGATAAAAACACCTGACTGCAGAAGAAGTACATATTTTTACATGTATTAAGGAGATGGAGTTTTTAAATGACGAGCTGAAGTGAATACGACAGACATATTAATTAAAGTGTCCTTACGCAGTGATCAAACTGCACAGCATTAACGACCATGAAGAGGGCCAGATTATATTTGTATGGAACATAATTGCCATGCCAGGCAACAACATCAAATGGACTGTGATCCTGCTCAGCTCGAAACAAATGGCCCTGAAACTTGGATATCACCTGGTAACCTTTCACATCTCTGTCTTCATACCATGCCACAGGAGTGAGGAAATCCCGAGGGTTTGCAAGACCATTTGCTCCTGAAAATTAAAGATGGTATATGAATTCAATAAGAGTCCTTATTTAAGAATTTGAGGAAATTGTTTCTGGGAAATATGACAAGGGCTGGTAAATAAAAACAATACCATGAAAGAAAAAAAATAAACTAGCAATGTAAATGCTGCTTGAGTAACTAGATTAGTACACCATTACCCTAAATCTCAGTAAATATAAAAACTAAGAAAGGAAAAGAAATCATCACATACTAGTGAATCATATAGAGAACTGTGCAAACATAAGAAAAAGACACAAGTACATTTTTATCTGTCTAACATAATTACCAATTATTTAAAGTATATGAAAACTTGTAATGTGTTTTCTTCCTATCACATGTTATTTAAGTTCATCCATAATGTTTTATAAAGTATTTGTACTAACACATCACTCAGTTGGAAAAAATTTTCTTAAAAGAATGAAAAGGCTTGCACATTTTCAATAGTTGTAAGTAAATTATAACAAAATATTACATTGAGTCGTGCAATCGTGTTTTTTGTGCTTCACACTACCATACTGCTAGACTATTAACCATGGAGTTAAAGTCCAACCAGCAGGTCTGTAATGTAGGGGTTTAATCACCTTTGTAGCCAGAAAATCACATTTTATATTACATAGTGCTAATTCAATCATTTAGAAGTATTTTTATACCAGAAAATACTCTCAATGTTTTGATGCACACCTGAAGAACTTTATTAATGAAATGGAGGTATCAGGATTTTCAAATTTAGTAAACAAAACCAATATAACAAGAAACAATATATAAGGGAAATAAAGATAGATATAAGTGATACTTTATCTGGGATCATAAGAGACAAATATTAAATGTTAGAAATCTATAAACAGGTAATTCTGTAGAGGTTAATATGACTTACTTTTAGTGCATTGGTCAAAACTTACCAATTGGCCCTAAATATGGTAACTGGAAATGGCCATCAAATACTTCTAGAATGTAGCCACGTGTTGGTTCACTGACATTGACTGAGAACCGCATTCCTTGCTGAAGACAAATACATTCGGTATTATAAATGGATATAAGATCTGAAGATTTCCATCTTTTGGGCCTTTGTAATCAGGGCGATGATCGCCCTGATGACGGAGGCAGTATGACCTCTGAAACGTTGTTAACATCGACCAGACTACACAGCGCAACAACCCAGAAGACGGAGATCTTCATACTCACCACTGTGAAAACCTCAAATCCTACGGATATAAGATCTATAAAATTAAAACAAATCAACTGAGTGCTGAGGAAGAACGCCAAACTGAAGGAAGACTTTTATTTTGTAGCATCAGTAACACAACAGCTAGTCCTAATGCTGGGAAGTATGATGAAAAAATGAATATCTATAATGCAGTAGAGAATCTATTACACAAAACCAATTCTTACCTGTATGACACATATTTCATTGGGCTCCAATCTCATCTTTCCAAACTCTGTAATAATATCCAGAACTCCCTGCTGTGGGACTGAAAAGAATTGAAATATTAATCATTTCTTTATATTGAATTCAAATTTAAATTGTTAGTTTAGTAGGTACTTTCCTGAGATCATTTCAAATCAGAAAAATCTGTGAAACTACACCTAATTCTCAAAAATTAAGGACCTGTGGATACTTGACGTGGACTTCATTGCAGTATAATCTCTCTTCTCTCTCTTGACTTACTGTAGGTCATATTAAAATTATAGCTTGAATATTTTAATAAACATTCTTATGATCACCATTTATATAGTGAAAGAAGAAATTCAGATTCTGTGCTGTTTATTAAAATATAGTAAAACACATTGTCAGGAATAAGAAAAGAACCACTTTCCATTTGGTTAAAAGGAATGGCGTTAGACCAACTAGGCCAAAAAGGTACAATTTATCTAATACTAAAACAAAATATTATTAACAGACTTTTAAACACTCATAGTGTCTTCCCTAGAATATGATTTTCTACATTCAGCCCTGACTTTCACTCACCAATTAGGAAATCTCCATCTGCATTATAGAAGCATTTATCATTCATTGAAGTATTGCAGAGGAAAATATGAATAGCTATGCCAGATCTAGTACAAGGATTCCCAGCCCCACACAAAGTGTGGAGGCCATCCACAAAGTCCACGGCCTGACTGGGAGCTGGCACATCGAATGGCAGCCATCGCATCTATAAATTGATATGAACTACATAACAATTCCTTCACAATAAAATTGAAGTAAGTAAAAATCTATTGATGTTTCTATCTTGCGACTTGAAGCGTTCTGAGCTTTAACAAATAAATGTTTTCCATTTCAGATTATTTGTCAATACTTGTAGTTATATATTCCCATAATGGAACAACACGCAGCTGCTCAACCAGATTGAAATAACTGAACAAGAAATAACACAGAACATACTGATAATGATGTTTGTAGCATGTATCGTCGACCAGAACATTTTCAAGTCAAGAAAAGAATTTTAAAATTGAAATAGAACATGTTTTTATGCAATTGATTTATACATGAAAGAATATAATAAACAGTTCATCACATATTATTATTTTTATTGCTGTTATTATCTAATGCTAAGATCTAAAATGTATAGACATTTATCTTTTTATCTTCTATATGCCTACATGGAGTGCATAGAACAGAGTGAACATTGCAGTTATATATAACTGTTCATTCTTTCCAGGAATCATTTTAATACACTGACGGTTACAAACCAATTGCTGTCAAGTCATCGCTGATAAAACTTTAGAAAAATTTAACAGATAGCATTCAATATAGTCAGACTTTTAAATACTTAAGTGACATGGTAAGGTAATCTTATGATTAGTTCTTAATGTAAACCTTGTGGCTATTTAAAGAAGATTTTATAAATTAATTTAGATTAGTTCTTTTTTATTAGGAAGTGTTTCAATACTCAGCTTGTGGCACAATTCGTGGAGCATAAAAATAATGTGGCAGATACCTTGCTCTGTATAAAATAAATTTAAATACATCCTACTTCATAAATAGTGATGTACAATAAAATCATACGTTAAAAGATCCGGATCACCTAATTAATTTAATCTTAATAGCCAGATCTAGTACAAGGATTCCCAGCCCCACACAAAGTGTGGAGGCCATCCACAAAGTCCACGGCCTGACTGGGAGCTGGCACATCGAATGGCAGCCATCGCATCTATAAATTGATATGAACTACATAACAATTCCTTCACAATAAAATTGAAGTAAGTAAAAATCTATTGATGTTTCTATCTTGCGACTTGAAGCGTTCTGAGCTTTAACAAATAAATGTTTTCCATTTCAGATTATTTGTCAATACTTGTAGTTATATATTCCCATAATGGAACAACACGCAGCTGCTCAACCAGATTGAAATAACTGAACAAGAAATAACACAGAACATACTGATAATGATGTTTGTAGCATGTATCGTCGACCAGAACATTTTCAAGTCAAGAAAAGAATTTTAAAATTGAAATAGAACATGTTTTTATGCAATTGATTTATACATGAAAGAATATAATAAACAGTTCATCACATATTATTATTTTTATTGCTGTTATTATCTAATGCTAAGATCTAAAATGTATAGACATTTATCTTTTTATCTTCTATATGCCTACATGGAGTGCATAGAACAGAGTGAACATTGCAGTTATATATAACTGTTCATTCTTTCCAGGAATCATTTTAATACACTGACGGTTACAAACCAATTGCTGTCAAGTCATCGCTGATAAAACTTTAGAAAAATTTAACAGATAGCATTCAATATAGTCAGACTTTTAAATACTTAAGTGACATGGTAAGGTAATCTTATGATTAGTTCTTAATGTAAACCTTGTGGCTATTTAAAGAAGATTTTATAAATTAATTTAGATTAGTTCTTTTTTATTAGGAAGTGTTTCAATACTCAGCTTGTGGCACAATTCGTGGAGCATAAAAATAATGTGGCAGATACCTTGCTCTGTATAAAATAAATTTAAATACATCCTACTTCATAAATAGTGATGTACAATAAAATCATACGTTAAAAGATCCGGATCACCTAATTAATTTAATCTTAATATGATGAAAGACTCTCGGGCAACAAGCCAAGCCATCTACTTCAGTCAATGCAAAAGCTTCACTTTATACATTATTAATCTAAATAATTTAGAAATGTACTTTTTAGACACTGTATAAGAATACAGAACTCAAGTAATACTGTTACCTGTTTGGGGCTTGTAATATTCTCATCCCAATTGTGGGAAAGATATTCACTCTTTAAGTGAATGAAAGGATGATGAATTACTGATGGGCGAATTCGATACAACCAAGACCTCTTGTTCTCCGCACGTGGGGCTACAAAAAGGGAATATTAAAAGGCAATGTTTTAAATGATACTTCAATTTGATTCCCCCAAAATAAATTTTTATAGAAGTAATTAAGTAAATTACTAATTACAATAAAGCATGCTACCATAGAATAATAATAATTACTATATTTAAACTCATGTATGTTTATAACCACTGTCATATATGCAAGAAAATGGTTTGTGCTTAAAAAAAATCCCTTTTAAGAGGATTTGATGCAAATTAAAATTTGGGTCCCAGAAACATTACCATAAGAATGATGTATTTAAATTATTTTCTATCCATATAAGAAGGCAAATTTTAAAAGCATGTATTGAATGTTTAATCCACTTTCTTATTAAACACAAGGAGCTTATCCATAGCCACAGGCCACTGTGTGAAGAGTCACATCCTCATGCCCCACCTTCAAGAATGTTGGTTGTTATTCTTTGTTTTCCTTTAACTTAGCTGTGTCATGTAAATTTTAAAGTTGTTTATTTTTAACTTAGTTGTCATAGTAGTAATTTTTAATTAAATCATTTTTTAGTATAAACATACCTGTGAAAGCTGTTCCAGAGAGCTGTTCTGCATACAAGCCATAAGGACATTTCTGAGGATTGTTCTGTCCACTTGGTAAGGAACCAGGGCAGCGGGGATCTTCAGAGACAAATTCATTACCAAAGCCAGACAAATACTGAAACATTCCATTAGTAACTCCATCAATAGACCATATTTCTCTCCACTTGCGCACAGACTGAAAGAGTAAAAACTCTGACAATTTGTTAACTTCTGTTCTGGAAAAGACTAAACTCTTGCTCTTCTTGGGAATCATACTCCCTGCATTCAGCCCACAGTTAAGTCACTTTAAAGAGAGAGCTATTTCAAGATGAAAAATATTCCCATGGTTTAAGCACCGTGTCATGAAGGCATATAGGGAGAGTGGAGCTAGAGATGAGCTTTCCACTACATGCAAGCAGTGGTCAGTTTCACACTGTGGCTATTCGGTTCTAGGAGACAGAGCTTCTAGTAGGCCTATTCATTACAATGTTCCTAAATGTGTATCATTTGTTAAATTCTGCATCAAGATAAACAAAATCATAGTGAAGTTTTCAGCTCATACAACAATGGTAGAGCAGATGTAGCAACATTGTATGTACAAACAGGATTGATACTAGATAACAAAAGTACTTATGCCATATGCCATAAAAATTTCATCAGTTAAGTGGATGGCTTCTCTGTAAGGCGTTCTATTTACGTTATACTTGAATATGTCCCAGATACTCTATTCACTCCTTTGACCCGCGCCAGATTTACAGTTGTGGGGGCAATTAAAATGTGGAGGCTCCTATTAATAACAAAAAAATTAGGTTATACTGCAATTACTTATAAATACGCAATAATTTCTTATAAATAAGTGTCCGGTTTTCGGCGATGATTACCTGGACGCTTTTCACCGTAAAAAAACTTGGAATTTATGGAAGTGCTTGTATTGTGGAGGCCCGCGGGCGATCCATGGTCGCTCTGCCCTTAAATCTGGCTGAGGCTGTGTTCTAGATCGTTGCGAAGACAAGGTCGGATAAAGGGCTCTCCGAAGTCTTTCGTAACGCATGTTTGTCGATAACGCGGTAGAAAAACATGTCTCTGCACACCCATCTATGCCAGCGGCTAAAAATTTTTCAAGGGCGACTTGCCTTGCTGCGATGATCCTGACACTGGAAAGACTACGCCTTACATTCGAAATATTTTGTAACTGTTTCGTTTGGTATGAGTTTTCTTATGTTCAGACGTACTGAATGTCGATGATCTTATTTACTACATACCGCGGAACACCTAATGTATGATGGCGAATTTGGGCTTAGATGTCAAGTAACGCAGAAATCCCCATAACAATCACACCACAACAGATGTTTTATTACTAGTAGTTTATCGTGATGCCCCTATTATCTTACATCGTAAAATATATATGTTTATATTCTTCCAATTGCAGTGATTTGGCGGCGCATTATTAACTAGACCAATACATTCGCCAGTGCACCGCCGAAACACAGCTGATGAGAAATTAAACAAATTCCCCTATTAGAAAGAATGTTTATAACCGGTTCTATATGACTTGCAACAACATTCTGAACCGAAGAACCACGCCTCACTCTGAAACGTAAACAACGGATATATTTATTGTTGGGACGGAGAGTATCTATTTTTCTGTGGAACTGCTGCCGCAAACGGGCCCATTGGCCATCGGCCAAATGATATACGAGTAAACAAGCAGCAGCGAACGAATTATATTGACAGCGGAAATATGCAAGCCTTGCGATTGTCAAATATCTCATCAAAGGAATATTCAAGAGATTTAATGACATGAAAAAATCTACGCCGTAAACTGAAATAGTAGACGATACTCGATTAAAGCAACGGTAGTTTACACGACAAAAACTCAAATTCCTTAAGATATACCACAGATAGCGTGTTGTTGTTCCCGTCTGAAGATGAAACTTAATAATTTCCACTTTCAGTTTAAAATTGGACTTCTTAATTCTAATACAATAATTAAGAAACTCCAAATCCAACATGAACATTGTAACCTTGTATAGACTCCACTTACCTTCAATTGACTTGTCATTGTAACTGTTAAGCCTAATTAATTCACAATTGAGTTGTGTTTTAAGTTCTGGCCTCTGATTTCATTCGTTGCAATGCAACAGGTAGAAATAACGCTCGATAACACGACTGGTCGAGTGCTTCGTCGGATGCGGTCTATACAAGGTATTAGACGCCGATCAACCCAGCAGGAAAGCTTTTGAGGTCATCCAGGTAGACTTGTGATAAATAATACGTTCCAAACAGCTACACATTGCGTCAATGGGGAGCAAAAACACTATTTTAATTTCTTCACTTGTACCACTGCGTTACATTAGAAACGCATTTCTCGTTAGTTACGTCAGGTGTCGTCGTTTTTATAAGAAAATCCATCGCATTCTAAACGTGTTGAAAACTGCAAAACATAATTCGGATTTCATTTTTGTCTCGAGAATGTGAATAAAATCAAAAACAGATGATCATCCAGTTGCGTTCTTACAACTTAATTTTTAACAAGTATAGTAGATATGTAGTATGTCTAACACACACCAAACATAATAAACGTCATACCCAAGTGGTCAATTACTGTGGCGGCCCAGGTTCATTCCCAGGGCAGTCCGTATTAGATTTGTGGACAAAATGGCACTGGGGCAGATTCTTCTTCAAATCCTTCAGTTCCATAATCACTTTACAATCTGGGTATTAGATAATGGACCCATTAGGGACCACAGATCCAGACAGCCTCCACCATAAAAAAAATTGTAATCAACAGAAACTGAACATCAACACAAGTGTCATATTTGTTATATCTAATTTCAGAAATAATAACTTTAACTAAAAATATAAATCCAATTCAGAATAAAATTATTTAACATTGCTATAACAACAATAAGCACTATCTCACCAATTAAATTACAAGAATTATTATTATATACAGATTAACAGCTATGCTTTCTGAAACAGGCTGTCTGAATCTGTACAAATTGCCTGAAGTCACTTTATAACAGGGTAGGTAGGAATGGTTGACTTTGATATAATATTGTATTCTGGTATTGCCACTATAAATACACAATTGAAAGTATTGTTGTTACTGAACACACTTGAAATTAATGAGGCACATGTGAACAAATAAATCAAATGTCTTATGTCCTTGTGTGGAAAAGTAAACATTGTGGTACTGCTCCTTTCTTCACTGACAGTTTGGAGGAAAAAATTGTGAAATTTTTTTTGAACACCATGTGCCTTATATTATAAATTCAATGATTTCCAGTTATTTAACAAACAAAACTAAATACACTTTCCCCTTTAATTTATTTCACTACAGAAGATAAATTTTTCTCACAAATACTTTTTATCACACTCTGGTAAATATTACTCTGTAACAAGACTGCAAAAAATAAATTTTGTCAGTTACAACTTTCCTCCATGTATCAGCATTTAGCATGACAGACATGGAATTTGATACTTTTAGCACTGTTTAACAAACTATTATCAATTGCAATTCCTTTTAAGTATCAACTGAACTAAATATTTTTGTTCTTCGCAATTTCTCGATAGCATAAATCATAACACGACAAAATATGTCTTTTAAATGATGTATATAAATGTAAACTTATTGAAGGAAGATTAAACTTATGCAAGTTCTATCTCATTTTGACCTTTCATAGCATATACATGTCTAAATATGAATTTACATGTATAACTTTGGTGTCAGGGAATGAGCTGTGTTGACACAGCTTATTCCTAAAAACTGAAATTATACATCAATGCCAACCATGAAACCCAATGAAAATTTATGTCTTCAAACACAGAAACAACAGTCTTTTATAATCAAATGCAAAGCAGCTCCTAAACAGCAGCCTGTCACCAAATGATCACTTTTAGTCTCATGGTACAGAAACCATATGAAAACTGTAAAAAATAATAATTTACTTTACCACTTGTTGACCACAACTTATGAAAAGTTATGTGTATTAAAACTAAAACATTGTTGGTATACAGTTTCTAGGTTATGTCAAAAAATCTTCTGGTTGGAAACCTACATTAAAAATGTTGGTATGAAGACATCATCCAATTTTATTATTAACCTATAGTTACATTGACTTCTCTATAAAATAGGAAGACTGTAATGGAAAGTTCCTTCCAAAATTTCTTAACATATAATTTAAGGACTAATAACTTAGAAACTGTTATCCAATTGCATTAGAGACAATAGTTCCAACACTATAAACATGGGTCTTAAAAGTCAACTGAAAAAGAAGCCTACTGAAGAAAGATTTTGACTAATAGCTTAACAATTTCAAGAATAGTATGGATATGGATAGGGTATGTTTTGGGACAAGAAATAATCATCAGACATTTATGATGCGATTTCTGGGTACTCGTGGCCCCACAGACGTTTTGTTCATTTTTTTTATTTTCTTTGACTTGACACATATAGAGAGCAGAATATCTCCAAACATCAAAATATTATTTTGCTGGTCACAAATATTGAGTTGCTGCCCCATTACCAGCATTCCCTGCATATTTCTCACATTTGAAATCCACAATTGCTCACAGACCTTCCCACCATAATACAAAAATGCATGAAAATGGCAACATGGAGAGTATAAAATTCCCACGTACAAAATATGGCAACAGGTTTGCAGGCAATACTGGCTGTCTGGGCAAGACCAGCAGCCCCCCTCCAATGCTGTATAGTTTTGTTTCATTTGTTAGAATTCAATTACATGTTTTCAGGTATGGGTTAAGTCCTCATCAGCTGTGTTGCAGTTTTAAACCGTTAAGAAAAACTGTAAAGAATACAGATTCTAACATCAACTACAAATTTTAAAATAAGCTGAAAAAAGCTACCTGTGTTAAAAACTACTGACAAATGCTTTACTTCATGTAAGATTCAAATGTTGAAGACTGATACAAACACAAAGTTTAAGATACAATCTCTAGCAACTTTTCACATCCATTTATTTATGTTCAATGTTCTGTGCTCCAACATTCATTTACTGCGAATTCACAGCAAACTACAAGTATATTATTTGTACCATATCCATAACCACAATAACTTAGTATGATACTGAATTTAAAAACAGTGCAGAGCCTTGCCAGATGCCTTTCAGATTACATGAGACTGCATATTTCATAAATTCACACTTCTTATAGCATTGTTCCTATGACTTATGCATGGTATTGTGTAAGCACTTGCAATCATGTATTGAAATAATAATCTTTCAATGTGACCACTGATTACTGCATACATAACCAATGGAAATTATGTTTTTAGGTATGTGCAGGATGATGATGTGAAAGGGGTTAAAACAGTATCACACAAATAAATTACAGACCATAATGGTGAAGTCAGTGTAGCTACAGTTTGTGATACACAAAAAAATAAGGTCATGAATTATAACTAATTAAACTTTAAACCAATAAGCACATATATATCTTTCTAATTTATGCCCAAATAATTTCAAAGTAACTTCAGTAATGAACCAGCAAACATGTACATAGTTTCATTCCCAAATTGATTTTTCTACATAATGTGTGACATTTTGCAAATAAAATTGTAGGTGATGAATCTCAAGTTTATCAAGTATTCAGATACTTGGGAAATAATTTTCCTGGCAGTCTATACTCCCACTTTCCTAAAACAGAAAATTTTTATTATGTTCTGACAAGCCTGTTTCCTGAAATATGTATCATCTCAGGAACACTATTTCCATCATGAAATAGATGTATCTTAAAGTTGGAAAACATCATTGGCTTCATTATGAAAAATAAATACTATTACACTTGTCTAAACAAATGCTTCCAATTGAATAGTATGTGTCTAATGTAAATGTTGCAAATCTTTGGAATATGAAAACTTACATTTTAAACATTTCTGTTGGTTACTCAGACTGCTAACAATTGGTGCAAACATTACTTAATGTGGTTATTATGGAAGAAATCTCTTCCACATTTTGTTACCATTCTTTCATATGAAAAATACAATTTTATCTACAGAAGCAGTATTTGCTACTGTTAATACTTGCAGATTTATTACTTAGGTTACAGTTTTACTTGGCTTTAGAATAACAATGTTGGATCTACAGGTCCAAAAGAAAGTCTGCTAAAAAGTGCCTTGTTATAGTTTATCACATTTTCATCATGCACATGCCTACGGTAAGAAACAAATATTCACAACATTAAATTACCCAATTTGGTATGCACACTTCACAACTGTATTAAAAAAAGGGTATTCACACCCAAATCTTCTTCCTTTCTTTAATCAAGCAAACAACAAATCAATTGTCGTTTTTGTAATAAAAATATCAACAGAAATTTCTTTCTCTTAGTACTTAAATATGCAAAGCATTTGACAAAACATCGAGCATATAAGAACAAAGATGTGTGCAATATGACCAATCCCTCTGATTCAAATACAAATGGCAACAATGTCCAAAAATGACCCAGTAGAGACTAGCAAACATACGAACAAGGAATAAACATCTGTCATAAACAAGAACATTGTGCTTTTATTTCGAGATCATAAGTTTTATCTGCAATAACAACAGCAATTTAAGACCAAGCTATAATATAAGCATCATGACAGATTACAATGATGCCATAAGATGTAAAATACAAATCAATATATTCATGTAGAACATTCACAGAACACAACCAAAATTCACACACAAAACCAATGAACTAAACTACATTGCAGAAAGAAAAAACAAAAACTTACAACACTAATTTCAGTACTTAGCAGAAGAAAACTAAAAGAACGTGAGAAAATTTGTTAAGAATAGAAACATTTTTAATATTCTTCTACAAAACATTTCTAATAAAATTAAACTGTTTAACAATTTAAAATATTAAATCAAAATTGTACTCTCTATGCTTTTGGAAAGCAGCGTGCACACTATCAAAATATATAAAATACTGAATTCTTTCCTATAACTGCTGCGATATTATGACTTTGTGCATGAAAGTGATTTTATGAATTCTTAACACTGCAAGCAACAGTAATAGATCAAGGTACTTTAATTTATCATGAATGATAAACCAATAATTAATTAAGTACTTTAAAGCTGGGTAGCTCCAAGTAACTAACCTGGACACTCACCTAAATGCATATTTCTAATTCAGTAACTGAGACACACATGCATACAAAAAAAAAAAATCCATAGAAATGTTGAAGTTGATTACAGTACCTTTGTGCTCTTTTAAATATAGAATGGAGAAAGAATTTTAATACTTATAATTAAATATTTACATGCTGTATCATACAATAAAAAGACAGTCCCTTACACAATTTTACCTGACTTCAGTTGGATTTAATGCAACTGAAGACGCAATAAACCAAGAGTATTTAAATCACAGCGACTTACAGAAGACACTGCTAACTTACAAACATCATGGAAGAAATTAAACACGGAAGCTAGCGCCCCTACTGGGTCAAAACAAAGATCATATCCTGATGCAGTATTACTGCAGTAGTGAAGACAAGCAGGCATTACTTGTAGCTACTGTGAAGTGATGAAGATTGCAGGTTTGGGCAGGAACAGTGTGACTTGCCAACCTCACTGGATTCCATCACAAAAAATGGTATGGCAGTTCTTCTGACTTCTAAACTACAAATCTAAGAAAGGCATCAATAATAATAAACATGTAAATTTATGGATTACCACATTTTGAACAGACGGATCAGGCAAGTAACCACTTCAAACTTGACTAAATGCTGTATTATTCAATATGAACACACATTCTACATGTACAACTTGCCTGTAATATGATAACCACATCAAAACTGCAAATCTCACCATGTTTAAGTTTTCCTAATTTCAACTAATCACAATTTTTGATGTCAGTGATTAGAAAATAATGCCCAGCATACTCAAGGGAAAATTATTTCTAGATTTTCAGTACTCCTTTTTAAAATTAAAACTTAATTTTTGTCATCAGACAGTTTTGGATGTGATATATACAATTATCACAGTGTACTCTTTTATGAGTATATAAAATTAAACAAAACCACCTACTCAGCTATTTTGCCACTTTTATATCCATTTCTGCAACAGACAACTTCCAGCATGATACACCAAAACAAGAACATTTTACTTTAAAAGTTGTATACATTAACGACAATGTCTCTGAAACAAAAAGTGGGCACTAACATGTATAACAAATTCCTTTATGAACCTGTCAAAATATGTCAGATTCATTCTGTTGTTTCTTCCAGTCTATGATGTGGAAAGAAGTAAATGACAACTCTGCAACTGATCAGTGCTCTCTGCCCATTTCCTGTTCCTCACACTCTTTTGAGAGCTACATCATAGTTAGTCAAGAGAAGGGAGAAGAGAATAAATATGGGGAGTGAGGCACTGAAACCAATCCAGCTGTTAATAAATTAATACACTTAATCAAAATTCATTAAGCAAATTACATAGCCAGTAATTCCAGCCCAAAGATCTTCAGATTTTGTTTCATCAAGATAGTACACATATCCTATGAGAACACATCTAAGTAACTGAACACATGGAACTATGCACTGAATGCAATGACTTGGCACAGCCAGAAAAATTACAATTAAATGAATATGCTAAACTCAGTTATCTGTTCGGCACTTCAAAAATGAGAAGCTGTACTCCATGTTCACTGTGATACTCAATGTGGATCAGCACACAACTTTCATTTTCCAAGGAGAATCTTAAATTGAGTCACCAGTTACTATAAATAAAGTACAAGAAATAAATATCTGAAGCATTCATACTGTACTCATTCAACAGTCATTACCCTGCAGTTAGACACTGATCCACAGACAGTATCACATGAAGCGTAAATAAGTTACAAAGTGTACTGGACATTTTGAAAAATGGAAGGCAATGTGGTTAATTATGTAAAACAGATTTTACTTTGGCATATTCCAAGGCTGAACAAATGTGTGGTAAGGAAGCCCGCTAGTACAGGCAACATAAATTGGGTGCTCCTTTGATGTCTGGGTTGCAGACTGTAACACTGTATGAAGTTTGGCAAACAGCAATACAGAATACAAAAAGTGACATGCTAACCTTTCAAATGAAAGGTAAATTTGTCAAACTTTCCAAACATAAGGAAAAGAGCAGACATGAAAACAGTGTCAAACAAGTTTTACCATGATAAGAAGAAAGCATTGTCATGGGAAAGTGACTGACATAATCACTTTTGTTGCTGTACAGAATACTACATTTTACTCTTCTCCTCTCTCGTACAATGCGTTCAGGTTGTTCCACTTGCCTTGCAAGAATAATTCAGGCCTCTGTAGATGCTACGAGACTTCCCTTAGGGGTATACACAGTAGCGTTAGGGTCAAGATTGGACACAGTACAACCAGGGCAGGGGCTTGGGATCTCAGGCAGTCGCAGCTTTGACATCCCACTACTGTTTGTTGGACCAGGACAAAATGTGTCTGTGGGCATCACTGCTAACACCTGTGCTATTTTACTCTTCAATTCTTCAATTTCCTTTTCTTGTGTCCGAATTAAACCTGAAAATTTCAAATAAACACACACATATATATACAGTCTTCACTGTTGACAATATTTTCTTAATTACTTTCTAGCATCACATATTGCTGTAATGAAATGGAAGCATTTTCTATACTTCAATGAAAGGCTTATAATACACCATACTTTACTTTATACTTTAAGAATGCTTTATGAATGGACAGAGAACCCCAAATAATGTTTTGAACAAGAGAACACCTGAAAGTGAGACCAAAATCAAGGTGGGAACAACAGGATAAAAAAACATGTGAAACAGAAAAAGAAAGAATATGGAAAGAAACTGAGGAGCAGTTGTGGGTAGAGAGAGAAACATGGAGAGGCTGTGTTGTCAGATGACCCACTCACACAGAAACGTCTTAGGAAGAAGAATATTAAAATACCTTACTTCACTACGGCATGTTATCCCAATGTCAAATTTAGCTTTAAAATAACATTTTATATGAGCTTTTTCTCAGTCTGCATTTTAGACAAAGTGACCTGGCCTGGCAATCCTATACAGCAGGGGTTCTCATCCTTTTTTGCTGGCACACCACTAATTCTAATTTAACACATTAAATGTACCACTAACCAAGTGCATTCAGGGAAAACTTATTTATGTTAATATTATATTCTGATTTTCCTACATAATTTTCATACCATTCAACATTGGCTTGCGTACCACCAGTGGAACGCGTACCATACGTTGAGAAATGCTGGTCTAGTGCATGAGTGTGCAATTATTTCTATAGTAAATGACAACAGTGGTCATGTTCAGACAATTTGCAGGTGAAGATTGCTTCTATCCAAGTGAAATAAAGTATGAGATCAGGACAATATAATGACAGGTCAAAACAGAAAAAGTTGAAGTAATGGAAGAAAAGTATGTGACAGCTCTGGTGTTGTAGAATTAAATTCATGCTTCTAACTACTAACATGGTGACTGGTGGTATGTATAAGTTGTTGAGTGTAAACACCAAAGCAGCCAGACATATTAGAATAGGTACAGTCTGCATAAGGCAATGTCCTACGTAAGCGATAACGAGCGAGCTACCCGAGCTGCATAAGCAGCATGGGGTGTCATATGAAGCGGGGAATCGCTTGTTGTGTCCTATGTGAGAGACCACAATAGTAGCACATGGCCTTCCTGAGCATGCACCTTCCCTATACTGCAAGGTCAGAGCTTTCTGGCCAGCGCAGCGACTCGCGCGAAAATATCAAAATATTTGATCTCAGACTTTGGCCGCTTCCCTCTCCTGACCGCTTCGCTGGAACCTAGGACAGCGCCACATGAACAGCCAGTTTGATATTTCCGCTTCACCCACGCAACTCACACCGCTCGCATTTAATCGCTCACGTAGGAAAGTGGGTAAGAGTTCTTGCTGTTACTGTTTCTGAATTAAATTATTTCAGACACAAACTGCTACACCTCTGTTTAGCCTCTCTCTGCCTAGGTGGTTATAGCAGTATGTAGAGGACCAACAAAGATTGTCACTGTAGCTGAATTTTTTGTAGAAATATCGCTGCCAGAGTAAAACTAGAAATGAGGATCTGTCCTTTTACAGCTTTTCCTATTATTCTGGAATTAGATATAACAAATATGACTCATAAATTATTTTAAATTTACCACTGATTTCAATGGGTCATTCTCATGACAAAAAAAAAAACTTCATAAATTTGAAATTTCTATTAATTTCATGTTCATAACATCATAAGATGCAAATAAGTATAATACAGTGAAACCTCTATCCATCGTTCCCGGAACTATCGTTTTCCCGGATGCATCGTCCGTTTTGTTCGGTCCCGAATACATCCCATATAAAATAATGTTACATTTTCCCGCTTCTATCGTTCCTCGAACTATCGTTTTATCGCATCGATCGTTCAAAAATCGTAGTCCCGGCCCACAATTTTCCCGCAATGATCGTTCCTGAGAATTTAAAATGCTGGGTTTAGAGATAAATTAATACCGAAAGACGCACAATGTTTTTGGAATAAACAGTAGCGGTAACCTGTTATGTCGCCCAACCAGCACATTCTTTTGGAATGAGGGTCAGCGGTGCAGGGGTGATAGTTGGAGTGAATGGCGGTGCCCATTGTCAGAAATTTTACGATTTTAATTAGGGTGCACTCATATTTCGTTCCAGCGATGCCAGATGGCATGTGCAGTGTGAATTTCTTCACAAATGCTTTTATTACAAGGACAAAGGAAAGGC